AGGGAGGCATGTGCTGGAGCCTCGGAGTTCAAGCGAGGTGGCCCAGTGGTGGGTCCCGAGCCTCTCCTCCGAGGTTACGACGCATCCCAGACATGGTGGATGGTGCAGCCATGTTGAGGCTTCCCCCCTTGGCGTTCAGCAAGGCCAAAAAGGGAGGCATGTGCTAGAGCCTCGGAGTTCAAGTGAGGTGGCCCAGTAGTGGGTCCCGAGCCTCTTCTCCGAGGTTACGACGCATCCCAGACATGGTGGATTGTGCAGCCATGTTGAGGCTTCTCCCCTTGGCGTTCAGCAAGGCCAAAAAGGAAGGCATGTGCTAGAGCCTCGGAGTTCGAGCGAGGTGGCCCAGTAGTGGGTCCCGAGCCTCTCCTCCGAGGTTACGACGCATCCCAGACATGGTGGATTGTGCAGCCATGTTGAGGCTTCTCCCCTTGGTGTTCAGCAAGGCCAAAAAGGGAAACATGTGCTAGAGCCTCGGAGTTCAAGCGAGGTGGCCCAGTAGTGGGTCCCGAGCCTCTCCTCCGAGGTTACGACGCATCCCAGACATGGTGGATTGTGCAGCCATGTTGAGGCTTCTCCCCTTAGCGTTCAGCAAGGCCAAAAAGGGAGGCATGTGCTAGAGCCTCGGTAAGGCTGGGAAATATTACAACGTAGTATGACGATTTAATCAACGCATTTTATTGAGCCATAGCAATATTACAAAGGCTAGGAAAGTCATCCAGCATGATACAATTCACTGATAAAAGATTCTGAGGTGTTCAATGTTCCATGGACGGGGTTGTACCTTGCCGTCCATGTCTTCAATCCAGTAGGTTTCAGGTCGGATTTCTTCTCTGATCTTGTATGGACCTTCCCAGTTCGGTCCCAGGGAGCCGGAACCGGGTTCTTTTGAAGATGGAAAGACCCTCCTGAGCACGAGATCGTTGATTCAAAAAGACCTCTTCTTGACTTTGGAGTTGAAGTACCTTGTCATCTTCCTTTGGTAGGTGCCTAGCCTCAGCTAGGAGTCGTCCCTCCTCTCCTCAATGAAATCGAGGTCTAGCCTCCGGAGCTCGTCGTTGGTCACTTCACTAAAGTGCAGACGCCATGGAGATGGGAGTCCAACCTCCACGGGGCTCATCGCCTCAGTCCCAAAAGCCATGAGGAAAGGGGTCTCCCCGGTTGG